AGTCTATACAGCGACGTCCAGGTCGAAAACCAGCCTGGTTTTCTCTAGTCTGCTCTTCGCGAGCTCTAATTAGTCGTCTAAGGATAATCCAGGCTAACAACTTAGACGCCATATTAGTTAAACTGGTTCCTTTGTGACTATCACAAGAAGACTTTTGTACTTTCTTATAAATTGGGACAATCAGGAATTGAGACCAGTCGGATGGAATTAAGTCAAGTTGCCAGATTCTACCTCAGATCTCAGCCAATCCAGCTACCAACATCCTTAAAACTTTCAAGGGTCAATCTGTCAGGACCTGCAGCTCTCCATCACTTCAAATTTCCAATTACTTTTTCCACTTCATGAAGATTCGGAGGATATATTTCGGTTTCCCATTGGGGATGACTGGGGATCATGGGCAATCGAAGTGTGGATGAAGGCCAGTTGAACTGATCCCTGAAGTCCTCTTATTATGCCAGCATTGCTTGTCTCAGTTATTAGAAATAGTATTTAATCAATTCTTCTGGAAATATTTACACTTCTTTCAGCAGAGTCAATCACGCTCTAATAATTTCTATTGTTTTTACTGGAATGTACACATTTTGCAGCAAAATGCCACTCAGCAATTATCACAGTATACTGTTTCTTAATCGAATCAAAGGTTTACAACCACGACTATACGAAAAACTGTTGTCTCTTACTGTCTCAGCTTTCCAAATTCAAGTAACTTTTAATAACCCTGCTGATTTCAAACGTTTTTTGGAAGGTTCAGACGTTCTGTCATAAATAATCCTTTCATTTAGGTCAGGACAGTAAAGCTGGATGGGGTGCTCAGGGAAGATACCGGCTATCCGTACCTGGAATTTTCCCATCATAGGGTCGGGAAGTATTATGCATACATTACTTAGAGAAGAACGATTCCGTTGTGGTTGTTGAATCCATTTTGAAGACTTTGTTTTAGGAAAATCCCTACATATATATATTTTGAAAATGTTCTTATTGACTCTTTCTGTGCTACATTTTGGTACTCTGTCTAATCCCATTTTGTGATGTTAATATTTTTATTTTTTTATAGTTTCTGTTTTTGCATCTTTATTGGAGTTTCTATGTTTTCTACTGAACTGCATTGATGCTTTTATCATGAATGTTTTCTTTTTACAAACTCTACTCTTCCGATTTCAACGTACACAAATCTAGCTTCTTATTTCGACTTCTCTTCTATCCACCTGACACTGCACAACTGTTCCTTCTTTTTTTTCTCTACTCCTTTATCTGTGGGTTATATTCTTATATTCCCATAATTTACTTTAATTTAAGTGGTCTTGTCTACTGTATTGACTACTTCAACATGACAGGTTAAGTAGTGCTTTGGTTATGTATATGCACTTGCCAAACTGCTGCCTTTTTCTCTCCCTCTTTTCCCCATTTCAGAACCCCATTCACAATGTGAAATCCTTGGCGACTCTAGGGAACATGCACCCTATGTACCTTACTGCCTGGATCACAGCTCGTATCAAGCGCGTTCCATATGACCTTTCCCAACAAATTCACTAATGATCTCGGCAAATTGCCAAAAGAACCTATTGTGCACCTTAATTATTTGTACTCTCCTATTGAAAATGTGACTGTATTACACTGTTTCTGTCAGTGACATGGTGTAAATATGCTATCAGAAGCTGACTCTTATACTGAATTTAACTGCTATAACTTCACAGTAATTGCGAAAGCTTTTGTGACAATATGATCTAGCCTGTAAACTGGCGTGACTCTTGTAACGTAGTTATTTGAGAACAAATATATTATTTTTATTAATTATGACGCCACCCATATCGGTTATTATTTATATTAGGTAATTATTAGTAGAACCGTTCCTCACACAGATAAATAGCTTTCTTCTTAGGATAACTGGGAAAGGCGCGAATCGAAACGTCTTTGACTTTTCTTCCAAATTCAGAAACAACTAAAAAAGCCCGACATTTGTATATCTCGAGGCGGTAACATAACAATCGACTGAAACATTTCTTTTGAAATCTATTGGGAAACATGATTTTTTCTTCATTTTGGAACTATCTTTACCAGCAAAAAATTAGTGGAATGATGTACAAGGTAATAATGCGTTTGTACAAATGCTGTAGGCGAACTGTTTTTCGTCGAGTAAAGGCAGAAGAATCGCAGGTTAATTGTCAGTCATTTTCCGTGCAATCATTTTAGAGGGAACATATTTTATGTTCTCGGATAAATAAGTTGCAATACCATCACATTTTTGCCAAATGACTTTTGATCTGCATCCCGCTGAAATTATAGCCGATTTACGTACATGGTACGCGGAATAAAGCCGATTGAAACGGCTTGAAAACTAACCAAGGCTCAAAATGGGGAAACTCCGCCGGCAAAATCTTCGGGGCTACTGCCGGTCCCAAGCTCGGATTAGGGAGGAAGGGTAGGACATGGGGTATGCGCCCCTATCCAAACTATAAACTAACTTGCCAAAAAACGCTAACCAGAAAAAATAATTCAAATCACTTTAACTCTGCCCTGGGAGTTGGAAGAAGAATTATAAAGTCGCGTGATGAAAGCCAATTCCTCTCGGAATTCATGAGGTCGATGCCTCTTCTGACAACCAGAGTGACCAATTTTTAGGTATATGAAACTTTCGGACATTGTGGGAGACTAGAAGATTATTTCAAGTTGTGGCAGAAGTGAAAATATACGACCTGGAGGTGCTTGGAATCAGCGAAACGCATTGGACTCAGGTAGGACAACTGAGATTAGCCTCGAGGGAGCTGCTGTTATACTCTGGTCATGAGGAGGAAAATGCTTCACATACACAAGATGTTGCACTGATGCTGTCCAAACGAGCACGGTCATTACAATGAACGTCATCCAATGTTATGCACCTACAAATGACTACAATGACGACGTTAAAGATCAATTCTACGAAAGGCTGCAGTCAATCGTCAAGAAATGTTCACCAAAGGATTTGACGATTCTTATGGGAGACCTGAATGCCAAGGTTGGCATGGACAACACTGCATACTAATAAATCATGGGACGACATGTACTCGGAGAAAGGAACAAAAACGGTGAGAGATTTGCAAACTTATGTACCTTCAACAAACTGGTCATCGGTGGCACAATATTCCCACACAAGCGCATCCACAAAGCCACATGGAGATCACCGGATCACACTACTCAGAACCGAACTGACCATATTTGTATCAACAAAAGGTTCAGAACGACCATGGAGAATTCGAGAACCAAGAGAGGGACTGATATAGCCTAGACCACCACTTGCTGGTCGCAAAAATGAAACTGAAACTCAAGTAACACTGGATAACGGGGCAGACAACATCACAGAAATTTAATACAGCCTTTCTTCAGGATACCGTAAAACTCAACCAATTCTAGAGAGCCCTCACAAATAAGTTACAGGCTTGTAGGAACTACTCACTGCAGAGAAAACAATCTTGGAAAAAATTAGAAAGGGATCCAAGAGCTAATCACTTCAAACTGTCAGGAATTTTGTTAACAAGTGATCAGCTACTGGTTGAGGATGTTCACGTCCATTCGCCAGTAGGAAGAACTGACCATGTCACAGCTTCGTTTAACATGTTCATAAATGAAACACTCATGCAGGATAAAAACGGGTTCAACATTTGCATTACTAGAGAAACTGTCTCATTCTATGGGACAGTTATACATCCTTCTTGGAAATAAACACACCGGTGCACATGTTTCCAGACTTTGAAAAAGCCTTAGACACAGCACCCCACACACACCTAATCTCGAAGTTCGCGTAAATGTACTTCACGGACCTATACCTGTCTTTGCTCAGAAACTACCTTGAGATAAGATAGTTTGTACCTAGGTAAATTTAGTGCACGTGAGTCTGCTGGTCTAAACCTCGGACATTTTACAGGGCACCATCTCAGGTCCGCTTCTATGCCTGATATTAATTAACGACCTTTTAGGCCCAATTAGCTCACAAGCATTGATCTACGCAAACGATGCCAAGCTCTGCAGGTCCTTTAGAAGCGAAGCTTCGAAATGACCTTACATTCATTGAGGAATGTGCCGTGGAAAACGGTTGAAAACTAAACCAGTAGAAATGTCACGTCATGTACACTTTGCCTAACATGACGCAAAAGATTTACACTCTCAGTGGACTTCCGCTCTCTAATGTTGGTTTGATAACCACTGAAAGCCTACACACTGGTTCGAAGTATAAACGAGACACAGACAAGGCGAACGAAACTCTTCACTATATGCGAGGACGGCTTGATGCTACCACCCTACAATTATTCTTAACGTTGTTGAAGACATATGCACGCCCATATCTGGAAGTTTACGACGTCGTCGCACCCTCTATCTCTAAAAGAGGCATAAATCTCTTGGATCGAGTGCAGAGACGAGTAACGAAATGGGTTATAGGGTTGAAAGATAAAACAACAACTTCATAGTGAATGTACAAGCTGTGAAAATTAACAAAATAAATACAAATAGTATCAAAAACTATTTACAAAATAAGTTTGTCATGCCATCTCCACATGCCTGATACATATCTTGAGACCTGCTGATTGTTATCATTGCCATCTCCTCAGATCACTCAATTAATCTACCTCGCCTGTTATCTCTGTTTCCTCTCCCTTGCTTACACTTCGTTCCTCTCTCACAATCTTCTCTACCAATTAATAAACTTAATTATCCATTATTTACTTACTCCTGATATCTTATAACTAACGGCATCAGAATTTTCTCCTTATTGTTCTCCACGCTGCGAGTAACTGATCTCCGGTCTGTTAACATGATAGCTGCTGGTATCCAGAAACCCTACTGCCTTGAACGAAAGTTTTCATCCAAGCATGGGTCACGCAAGCTCACAAACCATTGTCAACTAACTAGAGTTAGTGCAGTCGTGTGTCTAGACCCTCATTCATTGGACACTACGAAACACTTGTAACCATACTGAAAGAACAAGAATTCAGCACAAAGAAATCAATTGGTTTATACTAGCTCATTAAAAAGATATTGGATATTGGATAGGTCGAGTAATGGTCATTTCTGGCCAATCGAATTGCAGCCTTGAGAGATTAACGTGTGCTTTAACGTTTGTAAAGATTTAAAGTCGGCATTTTGTTGTCGTGGTTGATATTACAGATCTTTTGAGGAGTGCTCACTTTTATTTGCTTTTTATTTGAATATGTTTCGCCTTGAGATAATCTGCAAATTACTTCACTTTATACGTTTGCCAAACGATGACGTAAGTGTTCATGAGTACACAATATTCTGCGCACGGGGTTACTAAAGTTCAGTTACTTGTATTATGGTCTCCAGTCAATTGTCTATAAAAGTATTACTTATAGGTCTTCATAGTTTATGTAGGTTGCTTTTCAAATGCTTTGTTGAAATCAAGTTGATTTTGAAGTAGAATCATCTTCCGCTTTCTCTTGATGTTATTCTACCACACGCAAACCTAAAAAGAGAGTAAGACAGGGCGCTGGGGAAATTTTCGGCGAAAATCCTTCGGTTAAGTTGGTATGAACATGATATATCAAATTATCATTTTCCTTCATAGCTCGCGTTAAATAATGCGACTTTTTGACTTAAAATTTCTCCATCGAGGAAAGGTTTCTCTATAATAACACTTTTGTGACAATTCGATGTCAGAATGGTAATAGTTAACTTGTTTACTATCACTTTAAGTAAGCTAAGCGAAAAGTGTGTAACAAAATCTCGTTTCATTCTGACTAATTGCCGTTATTCTACTGTTTACTGTCTATTATCATTACTTCTCATGGTTTACGATTGACTTCTTTTGTATGCCTATATACTATCGGTAAGACATGTTACAATAATTGGTATATGTTTTTGTTAATCTCTAAACAGAAACTTGGATACGACAAAGGTAAATATATGATTCCTCAATAAAATTTAACCATTAACACATTAGTCACATACTGTGCGGTATTTTGAGTTTTCAAACCACTCTCTTCTGTATATGATTAATCATACTCACAATCATAATCTATAAATATCTTATTATCCAGAAGATTTATTTATCGACAATAGTCTATTTAGGAAGCTTGTAATCTTTACCATTGGAGACAATTCTATTTCTACAATATCGTAAGCTCAGGTTACAGTTTCTTGTGAAGATGCTTAACAATACAAAATCGTTGATAAACTAAATTATCTTTTATAGTTACTGGTTTCATATTTCCTTGAATAATATTAGGTACATCAATCTAAGTATATATTACTAAACTCAAAACGAATTAAAAAAAACATAGAGATTTGGTGTTGTGATACAACTTTTCTTTTTCTTTAATGATTCAAACAATTTCTGCATTTTTTTTTTTCATTTTGTACATTTACAGATCGGAATGTTTTCTAAACCAACACTATTTACTCGAGTTTTTGCTTTGTCAATAAGAAATATGAGTTCTACAAATCAACAACCAATGCATAAAATTCTTATCATAGGTGCTGGTGCAGGTGGTTGTTCAATGGCTAATCGTTTATGTAAACATTTTGATAAAAATGAAGTAGCTGTCATTGAACCATCTTCTGTAAGTTATTCGTTTTTTTCTCGATTTTTAAATCAGAACTCTTATTCTACTATTTTTTTACTACTCTAATATTCAGCTGAATACTTTTATCGTTTTACCTTGATGTATAGTAAGGCAACATTTACTAATGGACTTTTGTATAGGTTTTTAAGTTGATTGTAACTTTTTTGTGTTTGTACAATGTAGTTTTTATGACTTTCAAACCTTTTAGACTTGAGAATAGTCTATAGTGATGTGTATTTGAATATTATTTTTAGATTATTACTTTTATTAGAACGAAGTGTTGTGAAAGTAATACCAGATTTGAATATTAACAATGTCGCCATCACCTAACACTACTTTTCAATGACGTAATTTTAGTGAATCTTATTTTTCAAACTATTTGGTATTTATGTTGAATTGAGGCGGCAGAGATATAGTCCGCTGGCTCCATTGTTTCTGTGGGAAAATCCGGATTCAGTATCATGAGGGAATGAATAGTGTGTGGTTCTAATCCTAGTCACAGGTTAAAATAGGACATTCGATATTGGTTAATTATCTTTTGGATTATACCTCTAATTTAAAAGCTCGTTGTGATACTTCCTTAGGCATTATCTCAGCTGAAATGAATTCTCTTTTGTGTGGAATTTTGTATTTTTAGTATTCAACTGTATCTAATTTGGTATGATGTCGGATGAAGTCCACTTGTATTGACTTATTTGTTGGTCTGTCATATCGGTAGGTGTCGGTCGACTACCTGGTTGGGGTCCACAAAATGATAATAATCGATGTTTAGAGACCTTGAGTTACATGGCTCAAAATCGTTTGCAATGGCACAGGTGCATTTGATCTCTGTGTTCTCGCAAATCCTGATCTTCTGGATTCTTCAACCCCTCTAGTTTCGACGTTCTAAACTTTTCTCACTGAATCATATTTCTTGAATATCTTCTAATCCTAACCTCTCCGATTACTTCTAATACCTTTACTACCTCTTCTACTATTGGATTTGAATTGACAATTATATCTCTGTGCTGATGTGGTATGGCAACATGAACTGATGTACATACGTACAAAGTTCTATGTTGATGATGATGATGATTTGTTGGTCTGTCACATTCCTGAGTAAATTTTTCAACTTGTTCCAATTTTATCAGACATGAGTGCAAACAAAAGTCGGTTGGACCTTTGGTGTTCATTTTTTCATTGATAGTAAAAAAAATACTTTTATGAAGATTGGTATTTTCCTCCGAATGCCCTGTTATATCCAGGAGTACGTATCCCTCTCAAAATGCTCTCATATGGCCACGCGTGTATAGGAATTACCAGTGAAATCCTACTCACTACCTTCCCGTGATGCATAGCGAGTACTCGGTTCTTTAACCGGGTAAGTAGGTATGGAGGACCCTCCGGGGCGGATTAGAAAACCTTGATTCCAAGCCATTGGTGCATATGGGCTCCAGGATCTCGATGAAACGAATGGTGCATTAACATATTGTTAGTCACCGGCTACCATTAGACTGGATCTCTTGCTTTGTTGTAATGTCTTGTGAAATCGACCTCTTGATCCATACACTTCATGTACGGTCCCCTAGGAAAATCACCTGCTTCTGTTTGTTTGGACCTTTGAACAATAGCTCAGCCCAAACACGAATTCAGTAATTTGTTTAGTGCATAAATATTTCACTGGCATTTGTACGAGTGTTTGTGTTAAAGTAAAATAAGAATTTTTCATGGTCATGCTCTTATTTTAAGCTTAGTCTTTATTATTTTTATTCTGTGGCCTGGTGATTGACGAAATCTCAGCACGGATACAGAAAGCTCGATTGGCTTTTACCAACCTGCGTCACCTATGGCGCAGGTGAGATATCCGCTCGCTAACCAAAGGACGAGTGTACTATGCAGCAGTTCGCTCCGTCTTACTGTACGGATTCGAAACATGGCCGTTATGAGTAGAGGACTTTCGTAGGTTACTAGTCTTCGATCATTGATGTCCTCGAAGCATTGCTTGTGTATCCTGGGACAACCGCATAAGCAATACTGTCGTTAGGAAACGAGTTCTAGGTAGAGATGGCAAATCAATAGATGAAGTAGTGAAATTTCATCAGTTTAAGGTGGTTGGGGCATGTGTTACATATGCCTAACCACCGACTGTCTCAACGAGCTTTGTTTTGTGGTGTCAGAGTAGGTTGGAAGAAAGTAAGGGGCGGCCAAAGTGAAACGTGGCACAAATCCCTGAAGTCATTGACAAGTGGACTAAGTCATGTTGGTAGATGTAGGCTACGTGGTTGGGATCCACGAGACAATCGTAACCTCGATGGTTAGAGACTTGGAATGACAGGGCTCAAAATCGTTTGCAATGGCGCAAGTGCATCCATCATTCATTGTGTTCTCTCTAATTCCGACCTTCTGAATTCCTCAGCATCTCTATCTTTCTCCTTCTAAATTTATCTCACTGAATTATCCTTCTCGGATCATATCTTCGCTCCCTAATCTTATCCGTTACTGCTAATATTTCTACTATCGCTATCACTCTTGAATCTGTACTGACAGTTACATCTCTATGCTGATGTGGTATGGCAACCTGAACTGATGTACTTATGTACGAAGTTTTTGCATTGTATCTGTCTGTCTGTGGCGTATAAATATTTAGGTGTCGTTTTTGTTATTGCTGTTTTTATTCCTTTTACTATTATTATTATTATTATTATTATTACGTTGCAGACTCATTATTATCAACCTTTATGGACACTTGTTGGTGCTGGCATAAAACCATTAAAAGAATCAGCTCAACCTTTAGAAAAAGTTTTAACATCAAAAGCCAAATTATATCAAGATAAAATTATACACATTGAACCAAAAGAATCATATGTTACGCTATCAAATGGTGACAAAGTGAGTGTTTAAATAAAACAGATTTTTATATTAACGGTGACATATATATATGATGAAGTTTCTTGCTTTGCTCCTGGATGGTTAGGTAATGAAGCTTACATTGTTCTTCTGAACAATATCATCAGCATATATGTGTTAAGTAGGAGTGAAGTACTCAAAATTTCTCCGTATCTGGTCCGTAAAATGTCTTGGTGACCTCAATCTTGATTAGCTTTTAATTGATCTTTAACCTATCATTGTCTTCCTGTTTATTTGAATTGATCAAGTTAGACATTAACACCGTTAGATACTGGCTCAGTTGTCCAATACAATACCGGAAGTCCTCGGTCCGAATCCTGTGGGGTACAGGAGTCGTAGATGCGCAGTGCTGATGAGTCCCGTACCAGGACAAAACAGCTGTGCAGTGCTTCCAGGTTTCTAATGGTGGTTTAACATTGATTGATTCGTGGTTTCGAAATATATTTCAGTAGTATCTTCCTTTGATTTTATTCTTACTCCTATGTTTGTTTATGATTTTTTTGATTAATTGATAAACTGAGTTGATTTTGATGTATTTATTGATCGGTATTTTATTTGGGTGCCAAGCTTCTATAAATTCCCCCTTGTGTTCTTTGTACTCTCTCTGTGAGCAAGATTTCAATATTTTTCTATAATTGTCTACACGTATCAATGTAAGAAACGGTATAACCTTGGCGTTTAATTGCTGATTGGTGTTCACGCAGGTGAAGTTAAAGTGGACGTCCACTTTGTACGATGTAATGATTTGCGCAATTGGAACGCGTTTATTTTGTAAATAATGTTTGGTATTCTTTGCATAAGATTAATTGTGAAGGGAGTTTGCTGGGTTTTTTTGTGTCCAGCAGCTGGGGCATAACCCGTCTAGGCTTAAAATAGTATCAAATGCTACAACTTTTGCTGTTTTAGTATAGTAAGAATTTTACTGCCTACATAAAACTATGTTAGAACAATTCAAAAACAAAAGCTGACCATTCACTTCAACTAGTTGACTCACTTTGAGTATAGCCTTATGTAAAATATCGAATATTTACAGTCTATTCGAGTCAGTGATGTTTGTGAATTCCATACTCGTTTGTATTCTGAAACTCACAAGCTAGTATATGGCAGTTTTTTTTACTTTGCTCCCTATTCCTGTTTCTTCAGTACGGTTCTATTAATTTGTTAGTGTTGTATAATGGTGCACCAAAAGACTTCTGTCCATCACTGCTGCTAGAGTCCCAATTAATCTTAACTATATCTGTCGAAGTATACTGCTTCATCCAAAAGCAGATGGTCGAATGCCACAATACAAATATTTCATCTGAAATGCAGAATCATCTTCATAAATGTGCTAGATAGTTTTTCGGTGGGATTTCGTTGAAGGTGCTAAAAACCTCTAAAAGAATTCCACATGGCAACTGAGACACACAAGATAATTCGAAGTCAGTCAGATGCAACGTAGAACTTTGTACATAAGTACATCAGTTCATGTTGCCATACCACATCAGCACAGAGTAGTAATCGTCAATTCAAATCCAATAGTAGAAGAGGTAGTAAGGGAATTAGAAGTAATCGGAGAGGTTAGGATTAGAAGATATTATTCAAGAAGTATTATTCAGTGAGAAAAGTTTAGAGAATCGAAACTAGAGGGGTTGAATAATCCAGACGATTAGGATTTGAGAGAACACAAAGAATAAATGCACCTGTGCCATTGCAAACGATTTTGAGCCATGTTATTCAACGTCTCTAACCATCGATTATTATCATCGCGCGGACCCCAATCAGGTAGCCTACATCTACCAACATGACTCAGTCCACTTGTCAATGACTTCATGGATTTCTGTCATGTTTTGGTTTGGCCGCCCCTAGCTTTCTTCCAACCTACTGCTACACTACAAAACAAAGCTCGACGAGGCAGTCGGTGGTTGGGCATACGCAACACATGTTCCAATCACCTCAGCTGGTGAAGTTTCAATACGTCATCGATTGATCTGCCATTCTTACCTAGCACCCGATTCATAGTAACAGTGATGCTCACTCGGATGTCCCAGGATATACGAGCAATGCTTCGAAGAAACCTATGATCGAAAACCAGTAACCTACGGATATCTTCTACTCTCATTGGCCATGTTTCACAGCCATAAAGTAAGACGGAGCGAACCACTGCGCAGTACACTCGTCCTTTATTAGTCAGCAAACGGATATCTCGCCTACGCCAATAAGTGACGCAACTTGGCAAAAGCCAATCGAGCCTTCTGTATCCGTGCTGAGATTTCGTCAGTCACCAGGCCATCGGCACTGATGAGACTCCCCAGATAAGTGAAGCGGTCTACATGTTCGACTACTTCACTGCCTATCTATTCAATTGATCCATGATTTACTCATGGATCAATTGAATTCGTATCTAGTTATAACCCATTCAAAAACTGTTATTCATGCGAATCATGAAGAAATAATTTGTTTGTTAGTTTCTATGTTTTAATGCTGATGAGTTGTTAGGTTGGTATTAATAGATAAAGCTATATGAGTCGTTGTTCTTCTGAAAGATTGTTATCAGATATTTTTTTTATTCATTCTTCCACTTTGTATGTTTGCTTTACTGTGATATCATTCACTTGAGTAAACGTTACACATCATTGATTTTATGAGTTCTTGTATTTTAGCTATTATAATTAAGAATTTAATCTGTGTAGGTTGTGTTTTTTAAGTTAAAAGAAAGGAGAGATTATAATATAGAGAGAGTATTTGTAGCAGTCAATTAGTTTTAACGTAGAACTTCGTATATGAGTATATAAGTTCTGTATTAGCACAGACACGCAACTGTCCGTTCAAATCTCATAGTGGTAGAGACAGTAGGAGTATTGTCATTAATGGAAGTGATTACAGTTCGAAGACATGGTTCGAGAATTATAATTCAGTGAGATAACTATCGAAACAGAAAGATAGAGATAATGAAGAATCCAGAAGGTCAGGATTTGAGAGAACACGATGAATGAATGTATCTGCACCAATGTAAAAGATTTTGAGCTATGTCGTTCAAGGTCTCCAACCATTGGTGTCTCGTCTCGCGGACCACAACCAGGTAGCTTACTTCTACCAACTCAGTTCATTTATCAGTGACTGCGTTTATTCCTGCCATGTTTTGGTTTGGCCGCCCTTAGTTTCCTCCCAACCTACTCCTACACCACAAAACATAGATCGAGGCATTCGGTGGTTAGCAATACGTAACACATATCCCAACCACCTCAACTAATGAAGTTTCACTATCTCATCAATTGATCTGCCATCCGTATCTAGTACTCGTTTCCTAACTATGGCATTGTCTAATCGGTTGTCCCAGGATATACGAGCAATGCGTCAAAGACATTTGTAATGAACGAAAGTCCTCTACTCTTGCCGGCCATGTTTCGGATACATCCTGGGACCATCGAGTAAGGAATGATAGTTTCAGGATACGTATACTAGGTAAGGATGGTAGACCGATAGATGAAGTATCGGAACTTCATCAGTTGGGGTGGTTGGGACATGTGTTACGAATGCCCAACCACCGATTGTCTAGATGAGCTGTTTTTTAGTGTAGGAAGGAGTGGGCTGGAAGAAAGCAAGTTACAGCCGAACCAAAACGAGGCACATATCCTTGAAGTCATCAAGAATTAGACTACCTGGTTGGCGTCCATGAGATGATGGTAACCGATGGTTAGAGACCTTGAATGACTTGGCTCAAAATCGTTTGCAATAGTGTAGCTATATCCATTCTTTTTGTTCTATCAAATTCTAATCTCTTTTAAATGCCTAACAACCTTTCTTTCTCTGTTGTTAAACTTATTTCATTGGTTTCTACTTCTCAAATGATATCTTCGATCTCTAATCGTTTCTATTACCGGTATGCGATATATGAATTGACAATTCCATCTCACTATGTGTACGAATATGGTATAACAATCCGAATTGATGTACATACGTACATACAAAGTTCTATGTTTTTGAGATGGTGGAGAAAACTTGTAGCTCAGGTGGATGATTGTGATGGTGTTTTGTTCTCTGAGCTGGTTGTTTTGGTTGTGGAGCTTTCATTGTTCTTCTGAACAACATCATCAGCACAAACTTCAAATAGAAGTGAAGCATTCAAATTTCTCCGCGTTTGACCTGTAGCTTGTTCTACTAACCTCGATCTTGATTGGTTGCTGTTGCCTTTTGACCTGTCATTGTTTGTAACTTTGTTTTGATTGCACCACCTTTTTGATCAAAAGGGGGTTGGGGTCCGCGAGACGAAAGTCACCAATTATTAGAGACCTTGAACGACATGGCTCAGAATCGTTTACAATGGCGCAAGTGCATCCATTCTTTGAGCTCTCTCAAATCCTAATCTTCTGCAATCGTCAGCATCTCTACCTTTGTCTTTCTAACCTTATCTCACTCACTGAATTATACTTCTTGAGTAATATCTTCAAACCACCCTAGTCTTCTTCATTACCAATAATACCTCTACTATCTTTATCACTATGGGACTTGATTTGACATTTGCGTCTCTGTGTGCTAATGTGGTGCGGCAACATGAACTGATGTACATACGTACGAAGTTCTTACGTTGTAACTGACTGACTGACTGAAATATTTGATCAATGTTCACTTGTGTGTCTAAAATTAAACAGAATTCTTTTCTTTTATTTAAACAAAATAAAAATAATTCTGCATAAATGGCTCATTATTCATTTTTTGTTTGAACTTATGAAATTTTCAAACAAAAAAAACGAAACAATAATAATAACTCCTCAAAATATTACGATTTATATTAATTAATTAACATTTTTTGGAAATCTTTATTCGTTCACGCACATCATGCACATCATTTATGTAAAGATTCAAATTTTTGATGCGTCGTGTATTGTCTGTGCACTTCGTCTTTTTTTTTAAAACAAAAATATCCAATTATTCTTAAATTTTAACCAAAAAAAATAAATATTGTGACGAACTTTTTAATTTCATATTAGCGCATATTAATTATTAGTGGAATGTTAAATATTGCATTGCGGGGTTATTGTGAAGATTGTTAAGTTTTATTTGTAACCATGAATCGAACAATGTTAGACTAACACCATTAGAAACCTGTAACAAGCACTGGATGGCCGTTTCGTCGTGGTATGGGACACTTATCAGTGGCAGTGCGTATCCATGACTCCTGCACCCCACAGGATTCGAACCCAGGACCTTCGGTATTGTGCGCGAATGCCCTAACCGTTAGACCACTGAGCCGAAATCTGACGGTGTTGTTAATGTCTAACTTGATCAAATTCACGGAGTTGCGCAACCTCATACCCTGTATACATCCGAACAGGTTTGAACTTCACTGGTCATGACTTCTCACTAGAACTCGGAGAAGATTCCCCCTCACCAAGCTAGTCACTAGTGAACAAATGTAATTGCAATGCGGGGTTGTTGTGAAGATTGTTAAGTTTTATTTGTAACCATGAATGATGAGTCCTATGCCAGGATGAAACGGCCGTCTTTCAGTGCTTGTTCCAGGTTTCTAATGGTGTTGGTCTAACATTGATCGATTCATGGTTACAAATCATGTTAAATTGTTCTCTTTAATTACTTTGAATTATGCCAATACTTATTTAATTAAGTAGTATGTTTGTGAGTTATTCATTCAAACATTGAATCAGTTTCTTTTTTTTGGTAATTTTATTTTCACTTTCGTTATCTGTTGATCTGTAAACGACTCTGACTGTAGCTGCAACTTTGACATGGTGGTTGGACTTGCCTATCGTGATGACCTAACCAAGCTATATTGGCTGGGACATATGTTCTTGTAGGTTCTACCATGCCAGACAGCTTGATTGGAGCGCGGTATGACTAAAAACAACAGAATAAGGTCTGAGGGTGTAGTTGTACTGCTGATTGTAGAGGGTTGTGAAAGCATTAAGGTATGTTTCCTTCGGACAACCAGTAACTGCAACGTTGCTACCTTCTCATAAGGAAGGAAGAGGTTAGTAAAGATCGACCCAAGAAATGTCACACCTCACCTTACCTTTACGGATTTCCGTCCCCAGCTGTAAGGCTATTTAAATTGAAGAGCTTACATTACAAAACCATCCAATAAAAAGGCCGTACTTGACAAGCCTCAAGCATTTGTTCCTTGAGTTCACGAAACATAATTCCTTTTCTTATTGGCAAACAGATCTAATCTACGTGGATTACCATTTAGTATGCATGTTACATATGAGTTTCTCCAAATTCTATGCTCTTGAAATCTCGTTGCCTCTTCACTCGAATACGTATCTATAGTTTTGCACACCTAGTTGAATATCAGTGGTTGTATAATGTGTCGTTTCATTAATAGCGTTACGTATTAGTCGGTATAGATATTCACTTTGTCTAATATGATGTTTGTCAACAGTATTGCTCACTTACTTACTTATGCCTGTCACCCCCCTTGGAGCATAGGCCGCCCACCAGTTTTCTCCAACCAACTCTATCCTGGGCCTACCTCTCTAGTTCTTTTCAGTTTTTGTTCATTCTTCTCATGTCTTTCTCTATTTCTCGGCGTAATGTGTTCCTTGGCATTCCTCTTTTCCTTTTACCTTGAGGCTTCCACGTGAGGACTTGTCTTGTGACGCAGTTCGGAGAGTTTCTCAGTGTGTGTCCTATCCACTTCCACCGCTTCTTCCTGATTTCCTCCTCCACTGGAATCTGATTTGTTCTCTTTCACAGTTCGTTGTTGTTGATGGTTTCTGGCCAAAGAATCCAAAGTATTTTGCGTACACAACTGTTAATAAACACTTGTATCTTCTGGATGATGGCTTTGGTAGTTCTCCATGTTTCCGCTCCATACAGTAGAACTGTCTTGACATTTGTATTGAAAATCCTGATTTTGGTTTTGGTTGAAAGTTGTTTGGAGTTCCAGATATTTTTCAACTGTAAAATGCAGCCCTTGCTTTTCCAATCCGTGCCCTCACATCTACATCAGATCCACCTTGATTGCTGATGATGCTGCCAAGATATGTAAAGGTGTTAACCTCCTCCAAGGCATCTCCATCAAGAGTGATTTGGTTGGTGCATGTTGTGTTGTATCGTAGAATCTTGCTTTCTCCTTTATGTATGTTGAGACCTACTCCTGCAGAGGCTGCTGCTTCACTGGTCGTCTTTTCTTGCATTTGTTTTATTTTTCATGGTTAGCGTTTTTTTGGCAAGTTAGTTTTTTGGTGAGATGGGGTCACCAACCCCATGCACAACCCTCCTCTTTTATCCGGGCTTAGGACCGGCAGAAGCCCCGAAGTTTCTACAAGCAATGTTCAAAAATGTTCATTTTATTATTTAGTAATCATATATGAACCAGTATTACACAATTGACAATAAAACTCTATGAACGCAATCAAATGAATTATATTTGACATTTGAATTAGGCGCGGAATTATTGTTTTACAAATAAGTCATTGTTTAATACAAATATTATGCACTGGAATTACGACTTATTGATTGTATTAAGCGCAGAAAAAAATGGGACTGTGTTGGTTAATGCGTTAGTTAATCGGTGGCATTCATTCTAAGACGTTTAAAAGTTTTTATATTGTTTTTTTTTCGAGATGTTTTTCATGTATGATAGTGTTAGGTTATTACATATCCTTTAGATATATAGTTTGCACGGTACATCATTGGTTTTTTAAATATTCTGACATTTAGAATACTAACTGTTAAATTCGAAACTAAATTGAAACATCCTAAGTATGACACTGGTTCGCCCGTAAATGCCTTGGTACGGCCGACAGTAAGGAAAGAGTATACTTTGTGGAAATTCTCTCATATGGCCATGCGTATATACCCACCACCACGAAACTCCTACTGACTTCCTTCTTGTGTCGGTGTTTTAATTATTATCGGAATTGGGAAAATGAAAAGCGAGTGTGTGTGTGTGTGTGGTTAAGGCTTAAACTAGCTTCATGGGTACGGACGATCCACCTGAGTGGCGGGGGGCGGTTGGATCCTGATGGTCACCGACTTGGTGAGTGGTCATCTAAGACATCCACTTATTTCCATTTTGATCAATAGTATGCTGGCCATCAAATTCAATAGTTTCTTTTTTCGGTCATATAAATTTTTCAATGAGCCTTTTTTGTGTATTCATGTAGTGAATGAGAACACAGGTGAAGCAACCGGATTGTATTTAGCGAAAATTACAGAGTTACTCAGTAAAATCGGAAAAACATATCGTAAATTGTTCATTTGCAAAATGTCAGTTCATCCTATCGAACTGGACTGTTCCTTTTACCAAACATCAATCCATTATCACTATTCATGCATTTCATACAAATTCCATTGTTTTCTAACTCTTCCTTTCTTGATCTTCCCCAGACACTACGTTGACGCTCACGTCATATGCTACTTATAAGTAGCTCACACTACATTCAGTGTTTGTGGTGCACTGATTTTGTCATTTCGTTTCTATAATTTTTCTTGTCTATATGGTGTTATCTATCAGGCAATTATATTCGTTCGAATGATATTCTCATTTTGGGGTTACAGTTTTGGAGGTTTGCGTTTTTACACATTTGAAATGATCAATCAATCAATCATTGTTGTTAGACCACCATTAGAAACAAGGAAGCACTGAAAGGCCGTTTCGTCCTGGTATGGGACTCATCAGTAGTGCGCATCCACGTCGCGCAAAATCCCTAGATCAATCAAAGTTAGACATTAACGCCATTAGATGCCGGCCCAGTGGTCCAATGGTAAGGCGTTCGCCTACAATCCCGAAGGTCCCGGGTCCGGATACTGCGAGTAGCAGGAGTCGTGAATGCGCACTGTCACTGATGAGTCCCATACCAGGACGAAGCGGCCATCTTTCAGTGCTTCCAGGTTTCCCTATTGGTGGTCTAACAATGATTGATTGATGATTTCAAAAGATATTCTCATTGTTCTATGCTAGACTCTTTTTTCTTTACACAAGTTACTGTATTATTCTCCTAGTTAATAGTCTTCATTAACGGTAAAAATAGAATGAAACATGATGTGTACATCAGGTTGCGAAACATGCTGCGATGCCAGCATCACAGAAAAGGGCTGCTATTGATTATTTTCAAGATTAAACAATTTGCTTTTTTTTTGTACAAAGAAAAGCAATTCAATGTTCAATGTCTTCTTTAGTGTAAGTAAGTAAGTAATTAAAACAAAAAAAGAAACTTGACAGATTTTCATTCTTGATTATACATGTTGTGTATTTAATATTTTTCTTACCTAGATCTCATATGAATATTTAATTTTGGCACTTGGAATAACACTGCGTTATGATAAGGTAAGCATTTTATGAATAGGGGGTATATGTATGTATGCGTGTGTGTGTGTGTGTGCGTGCGTGCGTGCGCGCGCGCGCTTACGTGTGTGTTTGAGTGTATGTATGTCCATTGTTCAATGTTTCAATTGATACCGTGAACAAGTGTTTACAGATAAATGTGTAAAGATTTATTATTTTATTTTATGCTGATATTGTAATTGTGCTTTGTTTTTTTTTATCAATTGCTTAACAAAGTAGAATATATTGGGTTAATTTATTAATCTGTAATAAACGTTTATAGTATTCATTATAGGCAGATATGCAGATTGTCGTTTTTCGGAATGTGCTGCGTATGCCTAACCACCGACTGACTCGACAAGCTTTGTTTTGTAGTGTAGGAGTAGTAGCTTGGAAGAATTCTAAGGGCGGCCAGACCAAAACATGGCAGAAATGCATGAAGACATTGACAAGTGGACTTAGCCATGTTGGTAGTTGTAGGCTACCTGGTTGGGGTCCGCGAGAGGATAGTAATCGATGGTTAGAGACGTTGAATAACATGGCTAAAAATCGTTTGGAATGGCGCAAGTGCATCCATTCGTTGTTTAGCTCTCTCAAATCCTAATCTTCTGGATTCTTTAGTACCTCTACCTTTGTCTTTCTAATGTTATCTCACTGAATTATACTTCTTGAATAATACTTTTGATGCATAATATTCTCCATTACCAGTAATTCTTCTATTATATCTCTACCACTATAGGATTTGAATTGCTAATTGCGTCTCTATGCTATTGTGATATAGCAACCTGAACTGATCTACGTACGTACGTACGAAGTTCTCCATTATAATTGATTGACAGCAGTAAGGTGTTTCCCTCGGACAAAAACCAGCATCTGCAGCGATGCTGCCTTCTCACAAGGAAGGAAGGAAGGGTTAGAAAAGGTCGACCATAAAAATGTCACACCTCACCCTAACCTCACGGATTTCCGTTTCTGTCGGTAAGGGCTGTCCAATAAGGGCTTTTAAGAGCGGAGCTAATACTCAAAATACCCTTCATAAATAGGTCATGCATGACCGGCCTCAAGCAGTTGTCCCTTGGACTCTACAGTCACGCTCCAAGGTCGTTAAGACCAACGCTAATCTACTTTCCTTTTCAGGTCGCTCAAGAAACAATCTTCCATGGTGTGGGCAGCTGGGAAGTGACAACCGCCCTCATACCCGTAACAACACACGAGACCAAACCGGTCAAAATCAAATCCTTCCTAACAATGAAATAGTGATGAATATTCTCCGTTTGATAGATCAGTAGTGGCATTGAAGTTTACGTGAATAATTTTCACGAAGTTTCATTCTCTGACTTTTATTTTACACCTAATGTTTGTAACTAATGATTGAACTGTTCAATTCAGAGAACAAAACTCTCATCAACATTTCCATATCATTTTCGAAGGTACTACTGAGTTCGAGTCGTGCCAGTAACAGGAGTCATGGATGCGCATTGCTTAATGCAAGTCCCAATGCCAAGGACAAAACGGCCTGATCTAACAATGATTAATTCATGATTTCAGTAATCTCCATTATCAATCAAAAACACTCGAATTGGAGTAGCCTATCGTGTCTTAGCTGTCTTTTACCGACTAAGGTGAACTTGTAATACTGTCAAGCATATCAATTAGTGACGAGCATAACAATAATGTAAATATAGACGATAGTAGACAGAGCATTTTCCTCCATCGTTTCTGTTAGTAGGACATAGATAGAATTAAAGCATGACTATGTTGCTGCGCGCTGATTGGCTAATTTCCTATCCAATCAGCTCCTGATCGATTCTTGGAAAACAGGGTAGGAAATTCTCGTGTTGTTAGCTGCATGCTGATTGGCTAAATCTAATCCGGTAGATCACGTAAATTACAATCCAGAAGCTTCTCATGTAAATGTTATAAATAAACTAACGTTGTATCTGTTTTTGCCTTCGGCTTCAGCTTCGTATTTCCATTTAACTTTACTATTTGGAATATAATCTTTTCCTGTTCCACCGTGTTTCTTTTGATGTCTTTGGAACTTGTCCAGTGTATCGTTTGTGGTCAGAGAATAATACTAAGCAATAGGATTTAGCTGGGAATCATTTAAGCAAGCCATTACAACAGTTTCTCTGTAGATATATTGCCTCTATGAAATAAATAAATTCTCATTGGAATTGTTTCTGTTTTCCTTTCCTTTAATTTAATTTAATTTGGTTTTTTTCTTTAGATTATTGGCGCTGAAGAAGCATTAAAACATGATCCACGTGTTTGTTCTAATTATTCAACAGATTATGTAGAAAAAACATATCAAGCATATCAAAATTTTAATGGTGGCAATGCTGTATTCACATTACCAGCTGGACCGATTAAATGTGCTGGTGCACCACAAAAAGTGATGTATCTATTTGAAGATTATTTAAAACGAGTAAGCGAATGATGTTGGTGTTGACGTTGGTATTGTTGTGGAATTTGTTAAATTGATATTGTTAAACTATTGCCATGAAGTCAGTGACAAGTGAACTGAGTCATGTTTGTAGATGTAGGCTAGATGTAGGTTAGGGTCCGCGTGACAAAAGTCATCGATGGTTAGAGACTTTGTATGATATGGCTCAAAATCATTTGCAATGGCGCAGGTGCATCCACTCTTTGTGTTCTCTCAAATTCTAACCTTCTGAATTCCTCATCATTCCATCTTTCTCTTTCTAAAGTTATCTTACAGAATTATACTTCTTGAATCATATCTTCGAACCATAATTTTCTCCATTACTGCTAATGTGGTGTTGTGGTGCGAGCTACTTATAAGTAATATATGACGTGAGCGTCAACGTAATGTCTGGCAGCCGAAGGTGGAGCAAGATCAAGAAAGGAAGAGTTAGAAGAACACAATGAAATTTGTATGAAACGCATGAATAGTGACAATGGATTGATGTTTTGCAACAGGAACAGTCCAGTTCGATATGACGGACTGATATTTTGCAAATTAACGATTTACGATATGGTTTTTCTTCTTTTATCAATTAACTCTGTAATTTTCGTAAAATACAGTTCGGTTGCTCCACCTGTGTTCTCCTTCACTACACTAATAATTCTACTATAACTATCACTCTTGGATTTGAACTGACAGTTGCCTCTCTGTGCTGATATGGTATGGGAAATTGGACTTTTGCACTGATGTACGAAGTTGTACGTTGTAACTGATTGACTGTTGTCATGAATTTTCGGTTTCTCACATCATGGATGAGTATCTTTTAGAAGAACTGGAAATAAAATGGCATAATCTGATCAATTTGGTGCACATAGGCTCCAGGATCCTGATTGAGGGAATGGAATATCAAGCTATTGTTCGTCAGCTGCTACCATGCTTCATTACTTTGTGAATTAGCTGTATGGTTTTTTGAAGAATAGTTGTTGATATATCGACAGACAGACAGACAGATAGATACAACCTGCTGTTACGGGTATGAGGGCGGTTGTCACTTCCCGGCCGCCCACACCGTGGAAGATTGTGTGTTGATATATCGGCTCTTATGCTTTCCCGACTGAAATCTGTATGTCATGTAAAATTGTGTTGCTTTCAGGTCCAAACCATTCTTTAACCTGTCCGGTTGTTGTAAGACAGTATTCCTACAAATGTCGGTTGTTTGTAAGAGAGATACCTTACTACTTTTACACTGTAGGTACAATCGACAGAAAGATTTCATCATCAAACATGGAGTTGTTACTTTTAATTTTATGGGATCTGCCCCCGCTCCCAGAAGAAAACCATCGACTTTTGTATCAGCCTCTCTGCGCATTATCTAGTTTCACTCACAAATTCAATAATTTGCGCGGTGCATGCATATTTAGGTGTCTTCTGTTTGTACTAATGTTTGTATTTTCTAAATTGAATAAATTCGCTTGTAAATCATTGTGGCTGACATGGTTGGAATTGAAACCAAGAAACCGTTCAACCGAGTACAATCATCATGATCGGTAAGCCCGAATAATACCACCTTAATAATGAAGCAGTTATATTGGCATTGAACCAATAGGTTGGCTAAAATGTCATACTTAATTGGCAAATATCTTTCTCTTGGACATGAGATTATTTCCTAAAGCAGTGTATGTATTATTAGACTGATTGAATTGATACTCATGTTGTATGGCGACATGAACTGATGTACTTACGTACAAAGTTCTACGTTGCATCTGACTAACTTAGTGACATGTTGTAGGAATCTAACTATACTTTTTGTAGTATGTGTACAGATAGGTGTAGTAAATTGAGAGGACGAAAATCATTTGCATGGCCAAGGCTTAAACCGGGTTGGTGATTATGCAGAACCTATGGAAAGTAGTTGAAAAAACCTAAATTCCAAACCAATGGTGTGTATCAGCTCCAAAATCTTGAACAAACAAATGATGTATAAACATACAGCTTGTCACCAGCTATCATGTCATTGTATGTACTGACATTAGTCCAATGTCTTGTGATAGCGGTGGTCGGTCTTGTTTATCGCGATGACCCAACTGAGCTATATTGGCTGGAATATATGACACTGAAGGTTCTACCATACCAGGCAGGTCGAATGGAGAACGACCATACTAAAAGTAGCTACTCAAGGTTTGAGAGCGAAGTCTTACTGCTGAATGACTGACTGTAGAAGGTTGTGACAGCAGTAAACTGTTTCCGTCGGACAACCACATCTTCATCGATGCTGTCTTCTCGCAAGGAAGGAAAGGGTTAGAAAATATCAACCCCAGAAATGTCACACCTCACCTTACCTCACGGATTTTTGTCTCCGGCGGTAAGGCCTTTTAAACAAGAATGGAGCTTGACTGGCCTCAAGCAGTTGTCTCTTCGGTCACGCTACCAAGTCTCTAAGAGAAACAATAATCTACCTTCCTTTTCAGGTTCTTTAAGCAACACCCTTTCACGGTGTGGGCAGCTGGTTAGTGACATTCGCCCACATACATGTAACAGCACACAGAGGCTAATTAATCACAATCAAATCCTTCTTACACCCCCTAATATCTCTCTTATCTCGACGTTTCAATTTTCTCACATTCCTTTACCACGGTACACTGCCAAATATTCTATCTTGCTTAGACTTATTTGTGTAGTATTTTACACTTTTGACTACTCTAACACAAACCAAAAGCATAAGACGCTGTCTACAATCAAATAACCAATTGAAATTTAAGAAGTCTTTATATTTTACTTCTGTCTTTATATATGTGGTGT